GGGATTGGGTTAAACCAGCTTGGTAAGGTTTAGGTACGGTTGGAATGAAGTAATTGGGTTCAGGTTTGGAATTTGGTAAACAGGAGGGTACCCACCATACTACCATCCCTAAAGATTCAACTTTTATGTTTATTTGTTTATTTTTTATTTTTTTTGTAATTTTGTCTTGTATTTTGATTATTATATCTTTTTCTTATGCTCTGTTTTCGATTTGGTTTCCAATGCAGTTTATTTATTCTGTTAACAAACCCTTGGAAACATGGCTTCACGATTCTGGACTCAGGTTTGTAGTTTTCATAGATATTACTACTTTTGGATTCCTTCTAAACTTTTGAAAGTCTGTCTTTGGAGTGAATGCTTCCACTTGAGTTATCCTGAAATTGCAGTGGAATGTATAGATTTTTGCAAAAAGAAACAACAATAAAAAAAACTAATTGTTTTACTATCATTTTGGTCTTCAATTGATTTGGAAATTGGAATAGAAAAATCTGAATCTTTATGACATTATGAAATTAACATTTTTCATTAATGGTTCTTCTCATTTATTCTTACTTTGTTGTTTTAAAATGTACTTGATTTATATTGAGATATTATTCCTGTGTGTTATGGGTTTACAGGGTGACAGTGAAAGTGAAGAGGAGGAGAGTGATATTGAGGTTGAAGAAGCTGTAGATTCAATTGATGCTGCAAATAAGAGCAAGTATCTTGTATCTGATACTGAGTCTGATAGTGATGACTCGAATGTGCATCGACGTGTTGTCAAACGTTCTGACAAGCGGTATGAAGAGATGTCTTCTACTGTTGATCAAATGAAGAATGCCATGAAGATAAATGACTGGGTCAGCCTGCAAGAGAGTTTTGACAAGATCAATAAGCAGCTAGAGAAGGTGATGCGTACAATAGATGCAGAGAAGGTGCCAGATCTCTATATTAAGGCTTTAGTGATGTTGGAGGACTTTCTGAGTGAGGCCTTTGCAAATAAGGAAGCTAAGAAGAAAATGAGTAGTAGTAATGCCAAAGCTATGAATTCGATGAAACAGAAATTAAAGAAAAATAACAAGCAATATGAGGAGCTGATTGATTCATATAGGAAGAATCCACCTAAGAGTGAAGATGAAGGAGGTGATGAGGAGTCAGAGGAGGAAGATGATGATGATGAGGATGACTTTGAAGAGGATCCAACAAAAGCAGAGTCAGAAGAGGATGAGGATGAGGGTGATGGTCATGATGAGTTAACTGAGACTGGTACAGGGTGGGAGAAAATGCTGAGCAAGAAAGATAAGCTTATGGATAAACAGTTTAAGGATCCCAGTCAAATCACTTGGGATATTGTCAATAAGAAGTTCAAGGAGATTGTTTCTGCAAGGGGTAGAAAGGGAACTGGAAGGATTGAATTGATTGAGCAGCTCACCTTCTTGACCAAGGTGGCTAAGACCCCAGCTCAGAGGCTGGAGATTCTTTTCAGTGTTGTCTCAGCCCAGTTTGATGTTAATCAAAGCCTAAGCGGGCATATGCCTATAAATGTGTGGAAAAAATGTGTGCAGAATATGCTTATAATACTGGATATTCTGACACAGTACCCAAATATTGTTGTTGATGATAAGGTGGAGCCTGATGAGAATGAGACCCAAAAAGGAGCAGATCATAAGGGGACTATTAGAATCTGGGGAAACCTGGTAGCATTTGTGGAAAGGATCGATGTGGAGTTCTTTAAAAGCTTGCAGGTTATTGATCCTCATACACGTGAATATGTTGAGAGGTTGAAAGATGAGCCATTGTTTGTGGTTCTGGCTCATAATGTCCAGGATTACTTAGAAAGGGCTGGAGATTATAAGGGTGCAGCCAAAGTGGCTCTCAAACGGGTTGAGCTCATTTATTATAAACCACAAGAAGTGTATGATGCCATGAGGAAGTGGGCTGAGCAAACAGAGAATGCTGAGGAAGGTATGGAGTCTGGTGAGGAAAACAAGGTGCTTGAGGAGAGCAGGGGTCCACCTGCAATTGTTCCAACTCCAGAACTTGTTCCAAGAAAACCCACCTTTGAAGAGAATAGTAGGACCTTGATGGACATCCTTGTTTCACTCATATACAAGTATGGTGATGAGCGAACTAAAGCCCGTGCTATGCTGTGTGATATATACCACCATGCTATCTTGAATGAGTTTTCAGTTTCCCGTGATCTCTTGCTGATGAGTCACTTGCAGGATAATGTACAGCATATGGACATTTCCACACAGATACTTTTTAATAGAGCTATGGCTCAGCTTGGTCTATGTGCATTCAGGGTTGGACTTATTTTCGAGGGGCATAGTTGTCTGTCTGAGCTGTATTCTGCTGGCAGGGTAAAAGAATTGCTTGCGCAAGGTGTCTCTCAAAGCCGATACCATGAAAAGACACCAGAACAGGTATGACCTTTTATTGACACAGATGATTTATATTGACTCTATATTTTGGCATATAACATATGGTCCATAATTTACAGCTATAGAATCCTAAATTTCATTGTAAAGGGGGAGGGGTGTGGCAGAGTTGTGATGGACCTTTCTTTTATTTCTTAGAGCATGTCTTGTGTGCGTGTTGCATATAAATGGGTGCTGCTGTTACATTTATTTCTTAGAGTAGGGTGTTTTTTTTTTTTTTTTTTTTTTTCAATGAGATAATATTATATTATGATTACTCTATTTGATAAACTTTGCAGCCCAGTTTCTCCAATTATTCTGCATTGTTTTCTATTTTCTCTTATAGTACCGATGGCATCTTGAGTTATACTTCCACATTAGTGCAGAAGTGTTTTTCACATTCTTTTACTGCTTACATCATTATATTTGCATTATACTTTTTGATTCAAGTCATGTTTTGATATTATCAGGAGAGAATGGAAAGGAGGCGTCAAATGCCATATCATATGCACATAAATCTTGAGCTGCTCGAATCTGTCCATCTTATATGTGCAATGCTGTTGGAAGTTCCAAACATGGCAGCCAATAGCCATGACGGAAAGCGCAAAGTCATAAGCAAGACTTTCCGGAGACTGCTAGAGATGAGCGAAAGGCAAACATTCACTGGGCCTCCTGAAAATGTTAGGGACCATGTAATGGCAGCTACAAGAGCCCTGCGCCAGGGAGATTTCAAAAAGGCCTTTGACATTATTAACTCCCTTGACATTTGGAGGCTGCTTCGGAATAAAGACAATGTTCTTGAAATGGTTAGGGCGAAAATCAAGGAAGAGGCTTTGAGGACTTATCTTTTCACTTACTCTTCCTCTTATAACTCTCTTAGCCTGGATCTGCTTGCCAAGATGTTTGAACTTTCTGATTCCCAAACTCATTGCATCGTGAGCAAACTCATGATCACTGACGAGCTTCATGCAAGCTGGGATCAACCGACTCGGTGTGTGGTCTTCCATGATGTTGAACATACAAGACTACAGGCTTTGGCATTCCAGCTGACAGAGAAGCTAGCAATTCTCGCAGAAAGTAATGACAGAGCAGTCGAGGCAAAGATTGGCGGTGGATTGGATGGCCCTCCCTTGAGACGCAGGGATGGCCAAGATTATGCTGCAGCTGCTAGTGGTGGTACTGGGGGAAAGTGGCCGGAGTTCTTTTCGCAAGGCAGGCAGGGAAGCACCAGAGGTGGCAGAGGTGGCGGCTATAATAGAGCTTCGGGATCTGGTCAAACATCAAGGGATCGATCCAACCAGGCACGCGGTGCTGGGGGTTATTCAAGTGGCAGTCAAGGATCACGGTACCATTCTGGGTCCGCAGCCAGGGGAAGCCAAGGGGATGCATCGGCTCGAATGGTTAGTCTTAACAGGGGAGTACGAGCGTAGAGAAAACCCAATTTTGCACCTTGAGAGAACCTAGTTACTGACGAATTTCACTTTTTATTTTTCTTTTTAATTTTGTTATTCTCATCATTTATGATTTATCTTGTTGCGAATCAGAAAGTTTAATTTTAGACTTGGTTTACTGATACTGTTCTATGTGCATTCAAATCTGTAACTGTTATTGATCATCATCCCTTTTAAATTGGATTCTTTCTTTATGCAATTTGTAGTTTTGTACCCATTCATTTAAACAGTCGACTGTAAATGAATGAGCACAAATTGCAAAATTTAGACATATCTTTTGTTGTCTGCTTTCAAAATTGTTCATTGTTGGCTTCAATTTCATCTTTTATGTGCACACTAAATCATGAAAGCTAAGAGAGGTAAATTGCAAACATCTAAAATTATGCATGGTATGTATTTATTTTTCATATAATTATTTTGATAGATGATTGTATAATAGGACAAGTTCCATTTGAGAGTAGCTCACCATAATTTCCGTGGAACGAGTGATCAAAAGTAGGTGGCCTCAACACTTCAAGATGCAAGGTGATTAGAGACCTAACATCACTTCAACCAATAGTTATTGAGTGTACCGTGGACCACACAGCTATGTGGATCACGGTCCAAAAACGATGTCGTTTTGCATTTTTGTTTATTTTTCATTTTCACGCAACTCATTACAACATACATTTTTATAACTTATAAAGTACATTCTAATACATAAATTAAAGTACATTATTCTAACTCATAAAATTCAACAACGCCATTTTGAATATTGTGGTGTGTAGACATTTGCCATTTTGAATCGTGTGGTGTGTGGACATTTGCCCGCAGCAGTATCAAGGGAATTAACTTTGGGTAGATATTCATCAAACTAACTTGAAGAAAATTAAAACATCAAAACTAACTTGAAGAAAATTAAAACAAAACAGAGATATTAAAAATTGAAATTGCAAACAAGAAGAAAAATTTCAGGTCAAATTTTGTATAGACATTAAAATTAGAGGTGAAAACAAAAATAGTGTAACATGCATATACCACCCAAAAACTAACAAACAGTAGCATTCAACAAACTCTCAAAATCTCTAAAAATTTCAGGTCAAATTTTGTATAGACATTAAAATTGGAGGTGAAAACAAAAAATAGTGTAACATGCATATACCACCCAAAAACTAACAAACAGTAGCATTCAACAAACTCTCAAAATCTCTCATTATCTGCAATGCATCGTTGAATTCAACCGTCTTTTCCATCTTCTCCAATGCGATTCTGGCCGCTACTCTCTGGATTTTCAGCTCGGCTTCCGCCCTCATCTGTACAAGTGTTTGGGCAGCTTTGATTTCTTGTTCAATCTTGGCTTTCTCTGCAATCTCCCGCCTCCTAATTTCTTCTTGTTGCTTCAAATGGTCAGCAATATCTCCCTGCTTTAGTTGATGATTTTCTTTGAAAATAAGATGTGCGTAACGTTGCTTCATCTGGGCAGCACGTAGAGCATGAGTTGGAGAAAGCGGAGCGCCAACAGTAAGTGAAGTAGTACTGCAACTTTCTTGATCAATGGCGGCAGTGGTGGCACATGACGATGAATGATCAAACCTACGACTTTCCTTTTCGCTGTGCAATGGCGGCTGCGTTTTCTTCTGACAATCCCTTCCACCTCTTAGATTTCGCAGACAACCTTGTTCCGAAGTTTCACGACTCTTAGGTTTGTTTTGGCCATCCCACCCACTTCTGGTGGCAGTCGTCGGTGATGAAGAAGAATGATGAGAAGACCGGTGAGCAGCAACAATGGTGGCAGTCGGTGATGAAGAAGAATGATTTCGCAGACAACCTTGATCACTCGTCTTAGGTTTGTGAATCATCCTCTCGCAATCTTGCGTTAAACCCACACTTTTCCGTTGAAATCATCAGAACATGCACGCTTCTTGGATTCAAGCTTCTTGTCGTTGTGAGTGATGAGTAGATTCCTCGTGATCTTCAAATCCTTTTCCCAATCGTCTCCTTTGCTTTTGTTCACTGAAATTCTCATCTTTAGCGTCGTCATTCAGCGAGAGTACAGTGACGAGCGATTATGGAAACCTAGTGAGTGGGTGTAAGAACGGGAAGCTGATCGAGAGCGCTTTCGAAATTAAGAAACTTTAAGAAATTATGAATCTTAAATTGGGAAACCTAGTCAAAGCTAGAACTGAATGAAGAAAGGGATCGAAACTACTGAGATCAGAGAGTGCTTTCCTTACAACGTTAGTTCTTGATTCTTGATTAGGTCATCTTTCATCTGCAACGGAACTGCAAGATTTAATTTTAAATATTACTTATCTCCCAAGTTTAGTTTAAATAAATTATTATTAAATAACCCCCAACATAAATTATTTCATTTCATTTTTTAAAAATAAAATTTTGATTAATTTGAAAAATATTGTTATTATTTCAGTGATATTAAGATTTTTTTTAAAAAAAAATTTAATAAATAAAAGGAGTTGATTTAAGTTTAATTGAAATGCTCTTAACAATATAATAACAATATTTACTGAATATCAAACCTTTTATTATATAATATAAATTTTTTAAAATGAATAATTGAGGATAAAATATTCATATAATTTAACACATTTTTATGAACCAAATTTCCATCAGAAAGGCGTTTACCTGGCAGAGCCACAGTATCCATTCTAGCTGAAACAGCCGAGGATTCGAGACCTCCATTGACAGCCTCCACGGTGGCCGGAGCAAGAGAAACATTGATCCAGAGGCCATGCATGGCTAAACCAATCCCCTCTCTGTTCGCCGGACGGCGACCCGATCGGCAATCTGAGTAGCGAAAGCTGGTCTCCGCGCACCCCCAACACCCTCAAAACCTTCGGATCCTCCATGCAGCAGCTGAGACACCGGCAACACCCCCATTCACGAAGGTGCGATCGATTGCGAAGAAGGGAGACACCGGCAACACCATCTTCTCGCCGTCGGACTCAGTCTTCGCTGCCGTCGCTGCGCCATCTCCTCCTCCACATCTCCCCTCTCGCCCTCTCTATCTCCGCCCTCTAGGCTCTTGAAATGAAATCCCCAATTTTCTCATTTCCTTGCTCCGATCCTTAGTCAAACATAGTCTCAAAACATAAAAATTAAACAATATATGCATACATAAATTAGTTCATTAAAGACTTTCACCAAAAAAAATAAAAAATAAAAAATTAGTTCATTAAAGACAAAATGGTAATTTTAGTTCATTTTTTAGTTGATGTAGTAATTTTAGTTCATTAATTATAAATATATTGTAGACTTAGTCTGTGAATTATTATCATATACAATTTTTTTAATACACAATTTTTTTAAATTTAATTACTTGTAAAGTGATAGTTTAAATCCACCATTAACAAATTCTAATAAAAATAATGTTGTATATTGAATTTTCAAATTAATGAATGGCATATTTGTTATTTTATAGAATTTTCTTAAATTTTCCCAACTAAACCTTCATATATATATATATGAAAACTACTGGTTCTATCTGTTCATATAGAGGCTCGAACTCATAATCTTTCAAATGGAAGTCCAACCCAGGTACCATTAAACCACATAGTTCTAGTAAAAAATGACATGAATTAAAAGTTCTTATATATTAAAGACCCACTCCAACTTATTGATATGAAAACAACAAAGTATATAAATAAAAAATGATTAAGATGTCCTTTAATAATTTGAAATTTTAAAATACACTGTTAATATTAGAGTTAATTCCATTTTTGTCAAAGATTTATAGGTGACAGTCCACTTTTAGTCATTTCTGACCAAAATATCCTCAATTGATCATAGTATTATTGTGTCATTACCATTTTTGGTCCTATGTTAACAAAATTATTGAAATGCCGTTAAATATAAGAATATTTCGATATTTTTTTTATATACAAAGTAAGTTGGCGCGCTATATTTCTTATATTTATTTTATGAAAAAAAATCCATAAATGAAGACTAAAATGTCCTTGTATTTAACGAAATTTAAATTATTTTGATGGTAGAGGACCAAAAATGGTCATGCCACAATAATACTAGGACAAAAAATGAATGTTCTGAAAACAAAAGGACTAATAGTGGAATGTCACATATAAATCTAGGACTAAAAATGAAATTAACTCTTAATATTAATATAATTTGTTAGTAGTAGATTAATAATTCATGGTTTGAGTCTATAATATATATGGATATAATTAATTAATGGGTTAAAACTTAAAATTAAACTATCATTTTTTTTTCAATTATAAAACTCATTTATTAAATAAAAATAAAAATGTAAAGTCAGTTTACATGTACAAATTTCAATCGTTATACCGTGCACCAGAGCGCACATAGCAATGTGCGCCCTGCGCCTCCCAAAACGATGTCGTTTTGTTAGGTTGTTAAAAAGAATTTTCTGTTTCGAATGCACATACATAAACTCATAACAGAATACACATAATCTAACATAATACATAATACACATAAACTTTTAAGTGAATACACATAATGGGGTTTGGTTAACATAATACACATAAACTCTTAACTAAATGCACATAAACTTTTAACTGAATACACATAATGGGGTTTGGTTAACATAATACACATAAACTCTTAACTAAATGCACATAAACTTTTAACTGAATACACATAATGGGGTTGGTTAACATTATACAAATAAACTTTTAACTGAATACACATAAACACATAACACAATACACATAAATTTTTAACTGAATACATATAATGGGGTTTGGTCTGTTCGGACGGATGGAGTGACGTCAGCATGAAACACGTGCGTTTTGTGCCTGGACGCACATTACTATGTGCGTCGTGGTGCACGATATAATTTGCTTACAAATTTTAAGGAGTCGGTGTTTCTTTTAAAAATATCATGGCTTATACTCATTGGCTGCCCATGAATTGATGGACCCTACAATACAACTTTTAATGAATGACTTAAGTATCCAATTAAATAGTGTCATGTCCGGAGGGTAAAATTTTGGAGGGGTGGATATCATTACTATTTTACTTTTATCTAATGTGGTTAGAAAATTTAAGTGTATCGTGTAATTAAATAAATTTTCAATTGATAAAAAAAAAAATTACATCAAGTTGATAATTAAATGGTTAATTTATTAACATTTTTATATCAAGTTGCTAATTACCTTGTAGTGGTATTATTTTTACTTTCCATAAGTTGTTAGAATTATTGTTAATAGATTTTGACGATGCTAACAATATGTATTAGACATAGTAGACCTCTCAAATTAAACTTTCATCGATGTAAAAATGTAATCTTATCTTGGAAGGATCTCACCCAGAAGAATAGTGGTTAGAAGAAGAAGATTCAAAAGAATAAGATATCAGAAGGAGTTGAGTTAGAAAAGGAAGTGTTTTCGGAAGAAGTTATCAAGATACACATCCAGAATACTTTTTTTTTTGTTTTTTTTTTTTATTCGAGTATACTTATCTAATTAACACACACCACATATAAAAAGAATCAAGATTGAGTATAGTCCCTCATGGTAAAAATAATGATATATAAACCTCGGAAGGATGGAGTTTATAAGATGAAGGATAAAAAGAATTGTTAGGCACATTTCAAGTTTGTCTTACGTCTACCAGTCTATAATAGGGACATATTAGTGATAAGTAGAAAATAGACTTTTTGGACCAAAGTGTGTTTATTACACAAGTATTGAAATGATCTTTACCATATGGTTTATGGTAGTGCAAATCAAGGATTCGCTGCGAAAATTGCGAAATGTGACAGTTTTTGAATGGCTACAACTTGTTGAGTGACATGCAATTTGCAAATTTGAATTTTAAAATGGCGCTCAACTTACCTCGTCTATATAAGGAGGACCCCATGCTTAGAAGAAAATAGTTGATTGAACATCCAACTTCTTGGATTCAGGCTTTTTTATTGTCATTTCTCTTGATCTTTAAACCCTTTAATTGAATTGATCGAAATTCTGATCTTCATATTCCCTAAATCATTAGCAATCGTCATTTGTGAAATCAATCCAAATTAAGAATGAAACTCGAGGCCACACGATTGAAGAGAGCTGCTATTATTGAAACTATCAATCCACACTAGCTTAGCTTCTTGGTCAAACAAAAGAGTGACGACGAAAAAGGCTGGAAACATAGTAATTGAGATCGACCACTTCCCTCACAACTCAAATTACAAAACTTTAAGAAGATAATGTATCTCAAGTACGTACATGATAACGTACAGACGTACAAGATGTTAGTTACATGTTCATTAAATTTCAGTAGGTCTAATGTTACTTCTTAATTCTTGATTACCTAATCCTTCATTTATAAGATTTAATTTAAAATATTACTTCTTTCTCAAGTATAGTTTAAAGAAATTATTAAATAACCCCAACCCCAAAATAAAGTATTTTATATTTTAAAATTAAATTTTGATTAATTTGAAAAATACTATTATTACTTTGGTAATAATAATAATAATAATAATAATAATAATAATAATAATAATAATAATAATAATAATAAGATTTTTTTTAAAAAAAAATAAAAGTGCTAGTAAAAAATCAAGTAAAAAAGTGATTGCAATCATAACTTGTGTGACTTTAATTTTGTTATTCTCATCATTTATCTTGATGCAAATCAAATTTGCTTTTGTTCTATCAACTTAAAGTAGTATCACTTAAATATATGCTTTGTTATTTAAGTAATTTTAGACTTGATTTACAGAGATCCTATTATTCTATGTACATTGTAATATATTAGTGTTATTGATCATCATCCCTTTTAATTTCGATTCTTTATTTTTGCAATTTTTGCCCATTGATTTACAGTTGACTCTTTTAGATGAAACCTCTTGTCGAAAATTGCTCAATATAGGCTAAAATTTCCTCTTTTATTTACAAACCTAACCAAGAAGGCTGTGGGAGGCAAATTGCAAACAGGAAAAATTATTATTATTATTATTATTATTATTATTATTATTATTATTTGCAAACAACATTATATGTATATTTCAGATAATTATTTTGATACATCGCTTCAACTGTATCAATTCAAAGAACTCTTCATGACCTGTAACATACATGTTCAAGTAACTGGCTTAGATCCAATGAAAATATAAAATATATATTTTCACAACTACCAGTTAACATATTTAATATTTAAAAGTTACATCCATGTTTAGAAGACTAATAGTTGACTTCAAGGAAACCATTATTAGTATACCAATATTCTTGGAAAAATATGCTAGCTAGTTCCTATTCACTTGCAATATACAATAGCTTACCAATATTCTCATTATCATCTATTTAGTTATATAATGTATTTAGTATGGGAAGCCTTGAAATATACATTACTTTATTAATTGAGACATACATGTTTACTTAGTGGGCAATAGTGAATGCATAAATTTTGTTTGATGGGGTCGAAAATTAAAGAATATCTTGAGATTTGTATGTACACCACCATTGACAAGATATTCATCAAAACTAACTTTAAAATAAAAAAGTAAATTAAAACAAATCCAGATAAAAAAAAATTAAAAAACTAGAATTGCAAACAAGAAGAAAAATTTCAAAGTCAAGTTTCGTATAGCCATTAGAATTGGAGGTCAAAACAAAAAATACAGAGTAACATAAACCACCCAAAAAGAATAGAGTACGTGACAACAAAGAGCAGGAAGCAGAGTAACTGA